CCGAATAAACGTATAACAAATGCGCATAGAAATGGGACTATACGGCCACCTGGTTCACTTTTTTGTTTAGGCACAGGATCTAGGCGATCTTTACCTTCGCCGAATTCCCAGTTGCCTCGGACAACGACCATGACATCACCAACATAAGCATAGTCACCAAATGGTGATCAGTGTCCTTGGCCCTGAGAAAGTAGCGTCCCTACCGATCAGATGATTTCACCAAGGCATCATGATGGCAAATAGTAGGGATTCCTAGATTAATCCTAAGTCGACGGTTTAATTATACCATTTCCATTATGATTCGGTAAAAGTTTACATTAGGTTGTGAAGGGGGTAGACCCCAGGAATGAAGGACGGCCTTCAAAAATGGATGAAAGAGGAAACAGACTCCACCCTCAGTGATTAACAAGAGAGGAAAGATAATCGTACTCTCATCGATCCTCTCCATGTCGAGTACGCTATCTGCCACAAGTGATAGATGGACATCATCTGTAATGGAAAAGTGGCATCGAAAAGTGGAAACACGGTCCGCAGAAAGAAGAACTTTCAAATGTTTCGCCATCCGAATCAGAATGGAAAATTCGCTAAACTAAAAACGAACAAGAAAATGGGAGTTGTAATGAGGAAAAAATACAAGGAAGAGAAGAACTTACAGGGTAAAGAGAAAAGAACAATGAGGAGCAGATGGAAGTTGCAGAGGTCGTGAATTCAAAAGAGCTTTGCAAATTCAAAAAATATTCAAAGAGACAGTGCGACTTCATATCGCATTAAATGAACAATGCATACGAAGGGACGGGAAATTGTAATGATTTCTAAACGATGGTCATTCTGACGCTTCGGTAATGGAAGGAGTGCAAGCACCGTATTTTTTACTTTTCATATATTAAAACCAAACATGTCGACTAATTGGCATTAGTCGGATGTTTGGGGGGCAATTAGGGGGGCCGAATAATTATATATTGAGAAAGGCCAAGATATTTGAAGACATCTGGTCGAAGTCAATTCGGCTATAAGCTAAGGGCTCTTTAGGCTGAATATACAGATCGGCCATATGAAGAGTCGAATGGGAACCAGCACGCAACTGGAAGGCCAAGTAAGCAATCAAGTGCGAGATTAAGAGTGGGCCTGACCCTTGGGTGCAAAGGGTAATATAAAAAGAGGAACGTCAACCAAAGAGAGGTATGTGAGAATAGAAAAAATAACTTGAGATAGAAGTAAAATTGAGAGCATACTAACTTGTCCGTCGGAGTGCTTATTCCACCACCCCCGACCGGAGTGTTCATCTCTTTTTCAGGTAGCAATCAGAGGATCAAGGACGCCTGACTTGATCCTGGAGTATTTCCAAACCACTTCTCCACAGATGCAATGCTGTAATTGGGGGATTTCACCCTAAATTTCAATAAAAAAAGATTTTGCTTTTTTTTTTTTGGCAAATCATGGCATGAATGTCACAAGACTTAAGCATGAAAACATTTTGTTTTGAATTTGAATATGAGAATGATTGGATTTTAATAGACTCTAAATTGGATAATGAGCCCTTAACTAACCAGAAATCAAAAAAATGACTCAATGAAAGAAAAACAAAGCAAAAGCAATCCAAACACACCTAGTTACACTTGGTGGAATGAAAGACACTCAAAACAAAACTCTAAAGGGCAAACCATTGAGCCTACACAAATTTTGTAGTTTTCTATTCTAGATTCAAAAATTGGTCAGCCGATTAGTTGATTGGCCGGCTGGCTGATTAGCTATCTAACCAACTAAAAAAATTGATAGGCTAACTAATTCATTAACCAGCTGACTGAATGAACTGATGAACTGGTTGGAAAATTGGCTGGCTGGCTAAACAAGTGGCCAGCCGACTGAAACAATCAAGAAACACACCTGGAGTTAACTAAAACTTGAATGGCCGACTGAATGATTAGCTGATCGACTGAATGATTAGCCGGCCAGTTGAAACATGAACATGAGACTCGAGATTTCAGGGAGAAGACAGAATTCCTAACTCGACTATGCCCCTAATTCATTGCTTTGACATTTTTTTGGTTTTCTACTTAAATTTTTGACCAACATGAGAGTAGATTAACATGCTTGTTCCACTCTCTATTTTGAAATCATGTAAGTTAAGCTATGACCACTGAAAATTTACCTTCTTTGGGTACAAGATATGGTCTGATTTTGGAAAAATGGAATAATTTTCAAGAGAATTAGTTAACTTGATTAAAAATCTTAAAAATTGTTTTCACAAATGGTTACTACTCAACCAACATGCAATCAACCCTTGAGATGCACAAACTCAAATCCGAACTTGATTTGTCTTACAGCTGAATCTGCCGTAAAGAAGAGGGATAGGACAACTGAATTGAATAAAGATGAGCCAATTGAACATGGACAAGACAGCCAAGTCAAGTAAAAATATACCAATCAAACATGGATGGGACAAGTGAATTGAAAATGGTTGGGGCCGAACTTCAAGATGAAGCTGCCTACGTATCCCAAAGATAGGAATCAGGCCTTTCGTAGTTCCGGGTAAGGCTCACTCGGGTATTTACACTCTTCTTTTGTGCTCTAACTTTTGCCAGCGCTGTCCTTTCGGGTTTTCGACCTTGCGAGCTTTTTCATGTTTTCACTTTTCTTCATTTTTATTTTATATTTTCTATTTTTTTATGCTCTGACTTTTGCTGGGTTGCCCTCCTGGCTTTTTGGCCCAGCGAGCCTCTCAAGGGTAGTATTTTTTAGTTTGTCCATGTTGATTGGTTGTGAGATCTCTAGGCTATCTAAACCTATGAGCATGATTGGCCCTTTTGACCAGATAAACTTGGTAATGTAGAGACCCAGCTAATTGGGTTTGAATTTGCCCCTAGGGTCACAGATAGGAATTCAATTGTTCTTCAGCACTAAATCTCCTTCTCTTAAATTTTGGGATTTGGCAATCCTACGTTGATACCTTATCCTTAGCATTTTCCCCTTGTGGTATATTCAAAAAATGCAGTGATAAGGATTTTCATTTTCAACCTTTTCTATTGCGGCTATCATTTGCTCTATGAGTATTAGATGCATCTTGACCTCAATTGATATGTCCACCATTAAACAAGGGTTGTCGAAGAGTTGGCAAACCAGTTATTCATTTTGACTAGGTGGGTGACTAAGTTTGAGTTCCCGATCACATCCAACCTTATTGTCTATAGTTCTAGGGATGCTTCCAACCTGGCTATACACGCCTCATATTCTATGATTTTTGGACACTCTGAATCAAAGTTTGAAAGTTAATAGGTTTGGCCTCAAAGTCGGGCGGGATCCTATGTTGTATCATCTCATGATCAATTCCAAGCATGTCTTCGTAAGACCACACAAAAACCATTTTTTGAAATCTTTTAATAAAGCGACTAGTTGCTAGTGCTCATCTGAAGACAATGTAAAATCGGTTTGGACCAAACAAGGATCCTTCTCAGTACCCACATTAACTGAAATGACATCATCCATAAAGGGCTTAGTACACCTCTCTTCCTCTCAGTCGATCAAATTTTTCAAATCATTCCTCTACGTTTTTTTAATCAAAGTTTTGGAAAAAGTTTTAAAAATTTTGTTCAATGCAATGATTGAAAGGCAAACAGAAGTAGATAAGAATTATTGCATTTTCATTTAGAACTTCCAACTCAATGATTGAAACAGACTCCAAAGGAAAGAAACGACAAACTCAGAAAGGACGATGATGTCCGGGTTATCACCCCCGAAATCATTAGACTCTGACTCACAAGACTGACTCGATCCTGATTCCAGCTCCACAGACATGGCAGAATCAGGTTCAGACTCAACACCCAATTTTGAAAGTAAAATGAAATCATTCTCAAATTGCTAAATACAATGCATGTCATCCACCACGTCTGGAACAAAATTTGTGCAATCAGCAGGCGGTCCATCCTTGATCACAGAACTAGTCACATTATCTCCCAAGTTCACTGATCTAGCGTCAGTAGACTTTGTAGGTTTTTTAGGCAGAGTGATGACTTTCTTATCAATCAAATCTTGAATTTCATGGTGAAGGCGAAGTCGAATGCAATGGTCAGTATCATGGTCATGTTGCTGATAAAAAACACAACACTGTGTAGGATTATGTCTAGTTAGGAGTGGATATGTGAGCGGCTTCTATTCAAGAGGTTTGAGATGGCATTTTTCCATAAGGATTTGAAGAGCTTTGGACAAGGTCATGTAAAGGGAATTGAAGGTGCAGCTACTAGTCTTGGAAGTATTGAAAGAAGGGTTAGTAGGTGATGACTGGGTTAGGAGAATTCTAAGAGTGGTGTTTATGGTAAAGCATCCCCTTTCATGGCTTAACACCTAATTCCAAGTGCCCCCAACTTGGCTTCTTACACCGAATGCACTTCTGGTAACCCCCACCCTGGCATCAGGATGTTGATCGACAAAAATTTCATCCACAATTCTTGCAACAACTGCAAGGACTTGCTGTTTATTTAGGCCTTTAATCTTCAAGGTCTCCATAGCCCATCGAAGATGTGCATAATGATCAATACTTGTCCCAACCTCATTCTTGCTACTTGATTTAGTTTTCTCAAGGGATTGGGTGGTTATATTTGGGGAAGACATGATATCACCCAGGCTTGAGATGGCTTCAGGCTGGCTTATTCCAATTTTAGCTCGCTCTAAGATTGGAGAGCTTTTTGATGTGAAATTTCTAGCATGTGATGCAATCGATGATGGAGCCAAGATCCCAAAGGTCAAATCTGCCACAGTTCTTTGAAGATTCTCAATCATGCTTATCATCTCAGAAATAGTGGGTTCAGTCATTAGTGCCCTTGGTGTCTCTGGACCAGATTTGTCCATATGGATTAACTGGGCTGGGCTCTTTTGAGGTTCAGGTGCATCCATCACACACAAGTCAATGCCCTCTGGAATGAAAATTTCAGGCTTGGGAAAATGAAATAGAGTGATGTATATGCTGGGGTTGTAAGTGGATGGCAGTGTATGGATTAGGTTGAGGTATGGAGGTAATGGGTTGGTGGTGACCTTGGGTCTTTGGGGTTGAGGTGGAGCTATGGCTTTGCTGTTGATGAGATCCTAAATCGCATGACGTAGGTGAAAACAACCATCAATCTCAGGACCATGTTGTTGGTCAAAGGCGCAGTATGTAGTGGTGTCATGTTTGGCTAGGAGAGGATTGGGAAGAGGTAGAGAGTCAAGAAGCTTGAGATGCCCCCTTTCTGTCAAGACCTTCAAGGCTCTGGTGAGGGACATATAGAGAGGGTTGAATGTTTTGTTTGAGGTTCAGGCTGGGTTTGCTATTTGCAAACCGGTATAGGCAAAATGATCAGCCATTTTAGTGGTGGCAGTGATTAATTGACTTTAGAGGGTTTCACAGTTGTGCTACTAATGGTAATAGCATTAGAACTGGGCCTGAAGGTTTTTTGTACAGTTTCTTTGTCATCGTCAATGATTTCCTATTTGATGGAATCTTCTATTTGGACCCCCATTTTATGTAGTTATTTAAAAGTGAACAGTGGAAAAACTATCATCTTGTAGCTTGCTTTTTGTGCTCCTTTCGGATACAATAGCCCTACAGTTCGGACTCCCGTGGTTCTGAATCTGATTCCACAAGTGCAATGTGAAATAGATAAACAGAAATGAGTCCAAATCCGGCAAATCTTTTGGAAAATCGATTTTGAATCAAAAATGCCAAAAATGTACTGCTTTGCCAGATTACAGAGTCACCACCTAAATATTTTTGGAAAATTTAGGAAACCTGAGACTTGTGCCAAAGGCCACTTATCCGCCATCACCAAAGTATCTCTGCTCGAGAACATCGGTATGAGAGTGGAAAGTCATGAATTGGGCACCTCACTCACCCGATCAAGGATCGACCTTTACTAATCATGATGTGATTCTTATTTACAGTATATGCTCTTATTTTGATTTATTAGGCTAATTTACTATGTGCTACACACAAGTATAGGCTAATTTGCAATAGTTGGAACTCTATGATTTCATGTATGTTTTGAAAAGTGTTTGAATATGTACAACTTAAAAAAGAGGTATCATATGTACAATAATCAAATTATCTCAATTTGAGCAATTAGCCTTCATCCACAAGCATCCAAACAAGTATATCAATTAAGCACTTAGCCTCATGGTAATCATGCTTAACATGGCAACAATCACACGAATGCGGTATGCTAAAGCAATGAAATGCTTACCCCAATATCCGAGGCGAGCCAAAAGAAAGAAAATAGTTAGAAAAATGCATGATCTTAATGATGCGAATTACTAATGCAACACATGTAAAAATGCAACTAATTGGTTTGGTTATCTAATATATCAAGTAAATCACTTTGATGGCATGCAGTGAAGCATGTATCCAAGGAAGTAATAAATGACAATGCCATTAGAATGATGAACTGAACCTTATGCATGTGAGACAAATGGATGCAAATCATGGAAAATGCTAAAAGAAATATGATGCTCTATGCTATCCATCATAAGTAAATAAAAGGGAGAAAGAAATGGGGATTCGAAGACATACACATTATTACAATTTGTCCTCACACAAGAGGGTCTGAATAGTTGTCCTAGCTAATTATGCTAATTATTACAACGCCACAAATTAACTAACTATTCTAGTTAATTAATTATGTAAAACAAAAAAATTAACTAGCTATTCTAATTAATTAATTACAAATTAGAATTAAACTAACTAATTAGTTATAAGTCCACTACTTTAAGTACGACATACTATTATTAAACATAATTGTAACGGGCCTCGAGAAGTAAGGAATAACTCATGCATAAACGCGGATTTCCACTCGAAAATGCTCTCTATCTACTGCCAGAATGTTTCTGCTTCGCAATCAAAAAAATGAATTGTTTTTGCCTCAACCTCTACTCTGTTCTGCAAGAAAAAGGACACTGTCTGGTTGAAAAAGGTGGCCGGCCGGCCAGAAAAAGTGGGTCGGCCGTACATTAAAGTGGCCGGCCAGCCACTAATGTTTGGTACTACCCTGTTGCAATAGACATGAAACAGAGCACAAATAGAATATTTTCAGGAGATGTTTGTCCACCATGCCTTTCTTTATCATCAACAGATCAAAGGAGGGGTAGGCTTGCTTTGCAAGCTATCAATCGATGCAAATTCATTTCATGATAACTTATGAATCAAGGGATGCAATTTCGATAAATGACAATGAAAGACTCATGAACCTCCTCCTTATCATGGAATTGATCAAGGGAAATGGTTGATCTTGAATCTTTAGCCATTTTTATCAGTAACAAGTATGAAATGATTCAAGACTCAATAGGTTCAATTAACATTCGATTGAACCCCAAACTTGATTTCATTATCTTGTTCCATTTTAGCCCAATTTTATTACCTTTTTCAATTACCTTTCCATTCCTTAGTCATTTTAGTCCAAAAATGATAGTTAAGTCCACTAAATGGAGAAGAGTGTCAAACAAGAAGTTGTTTTGGACATGAGAGAGAGGTAATGCTCTGGTAATGAACCTCCGAAGAGATTAAACCATTTAACATTGCATGGTCCCTTTCTCAAGCTTAACCAACACTCGATTGAGACAATTCTCAAAGAAATAAAAAACCAAGAAAAGAGGAAGAATGCAGAGATGATTTTGAGAGAACACAGGTATGAAAAGCATGAAAGAAATGCTATCAACTCAAATAGGTTGGTGTCTAATGCCTAAAACACAAAACCTATGAGGACCACTACGCTACAAGCATGTTGTACAAAGTACAAATGAAATAAACAACCTAAAATAGCTCAAAATAGTGCTAAAATTATCATGGAAAAGCTTTAAAAAGTTAGCTAAAACAATGGAGAAATTGTGCTAGTAAACAAGCATAAGAAGGCCTAGGGGTGGCTAACCCCTCCATTTTTGGGACCTCAAAATAACACTTTTAGCCTCTGAAAAACTCTAAAAATCAGTGGTAAAAAGTTAGAAAGAAAAGTTGAGGAAGAGATGGGAAACACAAGGACAAAAGCTTAGGAGACAAAGTTCAAAGAACGGTGATTAACCCATCTACCTTTAATAGCTTCAAACCACAAGTTTCAACCCATAAAAACAGTTAAAAAATAGTCCAAAAACAGTAAGAAAAGATAAGGAAAAAGTAGTGTAGAGAAGCCCAAAATTACACCTCTTGAAGAGAAGTACCTCTTTTGCTCACAAACCAACAAGTTCTCACTCTCAAGGGCAGAGATTTGAGCTCAAGAACCTTAGCAAGAAGTACCAAATTTTTGGTTTAGGAAGTGTGGAGAGAGAGTGTGTAGGTTGCAAGATAGAGAGAGAGTGTGTCATACAAGTTTTGGTCCTTTAGAAATTTTTTCTTACCTAAAACCAAGAGGGGAGGTCCCCTATATATAGAAAATAGGTGCCTCAGTTGGAAATATCAGTATAGAGACAGTTGGTGTAATGTATGCACTTGTCGAAATAGTTGGCAACAAATATCTGCAAATACTTGTTCTACAGGAACAACTGGCCGGCCAGCCACTAAAGGGCCTGCCACTAAAATTGGCCTATGGGGACACTTGATTGAAACATCTATCTCCCGAGACTCCTGGCCGGCCGGCCGGCCAAGTTTGGGATGGCCAGCCACAAAAAACTAGCCGGCCGGCCAGCCACAAAAATCTGCTCTCAATGCCGACTTTAAACAGGCATATTTTTCTCACCCGGACTCGGTTTCAGGTGATTCTTGAGTCTAAATTGAATCCCCAAAAGTCTAATTTTCAATAGTGGTAGCTCATATCTAAATTCTCAGTATACAAAGAGATATGCCTATTTTAGTGAAGGCTGCTCATCTTTCTCTTAACGGTTGGATGCCTAACTTTTCCCCCAACTAGTTTTCTTCCCTCCCCTCCTATTTCCTTCCATTCCAAACCTATAAATAAGAACTTTTTAAAGATTTTTCAAAGATTTCACCTCCCTTCCAATTATTTCCACTTTGTCCTTACTCGGTTTATCAAAAACTGTAATATTTTAAACTAAATGCGAGCCTCGGAACATCGTAGAAACATTGGAAAAAATATTTTGAAAAAGAGGGTTTTAAAGTCTGAAATAGTTTTGGTCAAAAATGGGGTGTAAGGTTGGGATTTAGAAGCTCAAAAATCGAAGTTTTTTGCTAAAAAACTTGAGCGGTTGTATAGCGTAACTTTCATCATCGAGTGTTCAACCTGAGGCGCGCAAGTCTTAAGGGCGGTTAAAAATAGGGTGTCTACACATCTTCTGCAGCATCTTGGTATGCAAATTTCTTACCACCATGCGAATTTGATCTTTCTCAGGTGGTCTATTGGTCATCATTGCCACCTTGGTCCTCCATCTGGTGATGAAAGCTACCAAACTTTCATTTGGCTCTTGGTTGTAGCTTGACTTTTTCGCGCCCCCTTTCAGAAGTTCGAATATAAGCCCTACAGTTTAGACACCCGCATTTCTAAATCTAATCTCAAAATTGCAATGTGAAATTGATAAACACCAAAGAGTCCAAATCCGGCAAATCTTTTGGAAATCGATTTTGAATCAAAAATGCCAAAATTGGATTGCTTTGCCAGATACAGAGTCGCCACCTAAATATTTTTGAGAAATCTTGGAAACCCATAACTCGTGCCAAAGGCCACGTGTCTGTCATCACCAAGATTGTCTCAGTTTGGGAACTTAGTTATGAAAGGGGAAGGTCATGAACACATTTGAGCACCCCCCTCGTCGGATCAAAGATCGGCCTCTACTAATCATGATACGAAGCTTATGTACATTATATGCTCTTGTTTCAGTTTATTAGGCTAGCATTACTATGTGATGCGCACACACAAGTATAAACTAACTTCGCAAGAATTGGAACACTTGATTCATATTTGTTTGTAAAAAAATTGTTTCGAAATATGTACCACTTGAAAAAGTGATCGCATATGAACATTACTAAAATTATTCCAATTTAAGCAATTAGCCTTCATCCACAGGCATACAAGTAGTTATAGCATTTAAGCATTTAGCCTCA